TATATATATATATATTCATTCATAGGAATGATGATAGCATTAGCACTACTAGCTAGCACAGGAGGTAGGCTAGCTTAGCCTGGGCTGCTGGCTGGCCTGGTAGGGGGTAGGTAGGCAAGCTGGTCAGTGTACCTTTTTTTTTTCTTTTTTTTTTTCAGTTTATTGTAAGGAAATGACTGGGTGTTTTTTTTTTTTTTTTTTTTTTTTTTTGCAAGATCAAGCTTTTATTTATTTTTAATTATTTAACCATTGCAAGTTGCTTTTTATTTATTTTTTTTTAAATTTGACCATTAGTGGAGAGGGGTCGGATGGGCTGGGCCGCCCGCAAGGCCCGAAATTTTTTGGGCCGGGCCGGGCCCCAAAATGGAAGGCCCAGGCCCAAGGTACTGGGCTGGGCTCGGGCCCGGGCTTAACTGGACCGAAACGGGCCAGGCCTGCCGCGGGTTTCGGGCCGCCCATGGACCTCGGATCATTTTTACACCCCTAACTATGGAATAGACGATGACAATATATCTAATAAAAAAAAATTAAACATATAGACCCCCGCGTATCCCTTATATTATTATATATTCCAATCAAAAAACTGTCAGCCATAAAAAACAAAATCTTAGAAAATTAAAGGCACGGTAGGTATGGCCAGAGGGCGGGTTTATCATTCTCACTCCTGCCTCGTTTCAAGCCCCACGGGTAGAATTTTTCAATCACATTCTTACCCCGTAGATATCTGATACACACAGATATTTGATCATATTTCAAATAATTAAAAAAAAAATTAAATCTTTAACACATTAATAATTTCTCTTCTTTTTATATATATAAACAGTGATATTTTTAGAATTATTATTTATTTATATTTAAACATAATTACAGATTTTTAGTATTTCTTTCTTATAGCTAATTATATTATATATACATATATATTATTAATTATATTGGGTCAAGGTTGGATTGGCGGAGGCGATATCTGCCCCCACCCCACTCTCATTGCGAGTGATCAAAATATAATCTATCCCCACCCCCACATAAGTATCAGGTAAGGTAAAATCTGCTCCGTTCGAGCAAGTACAGACATGTCTCGCAGATCGGACTAAAATGGCCATTCCTATTCACGCATTATGTATGTGCCATTAAAACCATAGTAGTTATTGTATGAATAAGAAAGGATTTGATAACATGATTTAGTACTTAAAATTGAATTGATTAAGTGATCATTAATTAAGCTTATTTAATAACTACAATTGATATCATTTAAAAATTTAAGTATCTCTTAAAATGTAAAATAAAACTTACAAAAAAATTAAGGTCATATTAAATTTACTTAATTCTGACTCCATTTATAAAAATTAAATATAAGTATTGATATATATTATTGTAAACTTATTACCACCGCTACTACCGTCGCCGCCGCTACTACTACTACCATTGCTACTAACACTACCATCATGCTATCACCACCACCAAACCACCACTAAACCACCACCACCACCACCACCACCACCACCACCATGTCATCGTCACCACCACCACTACTACCATTATTTTCATTACTGTTACCATTATTGCTATAAATATTACTATCATTTTATTACCACTACAATCGCTATCACTACTTCCATCAACACTACTGCAATGCTGCCGCACCATTACCACCATCACCATCATATCATCATCACTGCCACCATAACAATATAAAATTTCAAATATGCAATTTAAAAATAATAAATTTTAAATTTAATTTTATACATATCAATTATTTTTAATTCAGCACTTAAATTTTTATCAAATAATTTTTTAACTTAAAAAATTTAACATTCAATTTTTAATACTTAATTTTTAATTTTTAATTTTATCAAATACCACCTAAGTTAAAAGCTAAAAAACTATCTATATACCAATATATATATGCATCACACAAAAGAAAAAATATGTATATATTTAAAAAAGCGACAATGCTACGTAGCTCAAATTTTGTGACTCAAAAGTGGCTCAAATGGCCAAAACGACGTCGTTTTGAGTACAGAACAACATAAAAATGGCTAAAACGACGTCGTTTTGACCATTTGAGTCACTTTTGAGCCACAAAATTTGACCTATGAGACATTTTCCTTAAAAAAGTTCTGTACTCTGCAATAGTGGCACTCGGTGATTATCCGTGCACTATATCCATATCTATATGCATATCAATATTAATAAAACCGCGATGCATCTCTTTTCGTTGGTCCCCCGAAAATGACCATTTATCATTATTTTATTTTATTTTTTTTTTTTTTGCCCTCATTTACCTTTTCCCTGTTTTTTTTTTTTTTAACCCTTATGTTATGTGTTACCATCATGTAGTGTTTTGGTGATAGAAAATTCTATGGAATACATCCTTCTAAGAGTATGTACTATATATAATTTTTTATATATATTTTTGTGATATATATTACGTATTTTTTGTGATAAATATTATTATTTTTTTTTGTAAAAGTTATTACAATTTATGTATGGTTCATAAACAAAGTTACAAATCTTTATACCAATATTATGCATTTTGTGGTATTGTTACACATTTTATGATTAGAAACATTTAGATTAAAAAAATATGTAACATTAAAAATAAAAATAAAAAAAATACGTACCACTTTCACAAAATGAGTTCTTTCATTTTTTAACTACAAATTGTTATAACTCTTACGAAAAAAAGAACCTAATATTTACTATAAAAATACATAACATTTATCATAAAAATATATAATAAGCTGCATATGGTATCCATAACATTAGCTTCTTTTAATTGATAGACCAGATGTAAGGACCACAGCTTTTATTACATATGTTGAGACAAATTGTTAAAATTGATTTAATATTATTTATACTATAAATTTCCAAATTAAAATATCATAAATATCTATCAATTTATATAAATCCGTTTGATTTGTAGTATTATTAGTTATTTATGAGATAAGATACGATGAGATTATTGATAAGATTGTGAGAGATAAAATTATACTATGAGATTAGATATAACGAGATTATTGATAAGATTATAAGAATAAAGTTATACTATGAAATTACATGAATGACAAATTATGAGATAAAATGCGATAAGATTATTGATAGGATTGTAAGAATAAAGTTGTATTGTGAGATTAATATATGATGAGATCATATATAGGGTTATGAAGGATAATACATAATTGAATAGAATGAGTGAGCTATTATATTTGATTTTGATGAAATAAAAAGATATAATTATTTTTTAGTGTTGGATAAAAAAAATTATATGGACAAAAAATCAAGGCGGCAAAAAGGCAAACACCAAATTGGATTATATATTTTAGTCAAAAAGTCACTATAAATTGTCACATCATTTTCTCTACTTTTCTGTACATCTTTTCGTGAAAAATTAAAAAATTACTAAAATAACTTATTCTCAAACGAAGCCTAAATATGGCATTATTTACTCCCCTTATTTTTTTTTCCTATTGAATTCTCCATACCATTACTAAAATTATCCAAAATTTAGCACCGTACAAAAACAAACACTGAATTGGATTATATTATGAAAATTATTTATTCCTCTCTTCAATCTCATCTCCCTTATCTCACAATCAAACACCATATTAGTAAGAAAAAATTATGAGTCAATTGTAAATTTTAAAAAGCAAAGCACAAATAAAAAATTATAATTTTTATGAATATTTATAATGTTTATAACTTTTTTCTAATTAATTCTTCTAACTTCAACTAAACTACACTAGTATTTATCCTATTAATATTTCGATAAACCCCACATATGCCCTTTTCAACCAGTTCCCATTTAATACTTCAATCAAACATGTGCATAAAGCATGAAGCTCATTATTTCCTTTGTCCATTACGGAAAATTATTTTTCCCATCATTGCATCCGTACGTTGTGGACTGTGTTTGTCATTGAGACCACACATTTTTTTCTGTCACAAAGAAAATCAAATTTAGGTCAAATTTGACATGATTGAAAAAAAATAAAAAGTCAAAAAGTCACTATCCTATTTAAATCACATCACCTTATTTAAGTCACATCACCTCTCTAACACATCACTTCAAACCCAACCTAAACCCAACCCATATTTCATAAAAAATCAAAAAGTACACTTATTTAGTCTTTCCAAACTAGGTCTTATTATCATTATACATATAGATATTTAGAATTAAATATATAAATTATATTCAAAATATGTATTTTATATTATTTTGGTTGTAATATTTTAAATGTGTCAATTTAATCATAATATTTTAAAGAAAAAATTATAAAAAAAATCCAATCTAAAGAAGGTATAAAACATTAAGTCCAATAGATATTTTTTATTGGTGAAAAATTCATTATTTGTAAAATAGTTTGGTGACAAATCCTATGTTTGATTGAGAGATTTAAGGAGGAATTTGAAAAGACAAAAGAAAAAAATGTCTAAAACTAAGTAAAATCTAAATATGTTTTATTTACATTTTACCTACCTTTTTCATCTTCCTTTTCAAATCTCTCCTCAAATCTTCCAACCAAACGCAGGACATTTTATTTCTAATTTTACCCCTTAATTTTACTGTTGACTTTTTTTAACTATTTGTTCAAATTATTTATTATTTGTTCAATTTCGTTAGCTATCTGTTTAAATTTTTTGCATAATCTGTACAATTTTCCACCTTATCTAGTTCAAAAATCTGTCCAAAATTTATTGTCTGTTCAATTTTTTTTTCTTATCTGTTCAAATTCAGTCCAAATTTTATTATTTGTTCAATTCTTTTCCTAAATTCTATCTGTTCAGTTTTTTTTTTTTTTTCTTTCAATTTTGTCTCTATTTAATTTTTTGTTTTTATCTGTTCAGATTCTCACACATACATGATACACAGATAGATAGATAGATAGATAGATAGATAGATAGATAAAGGTCTTATAATTTTAACTGTTCAAAATGCTACCTATCTGTATGAAGCTCTCATTCACACACACACACACACACACACATATATATCTATAAACATATGTTATTCAACAAAAAACAAGAAACAAAATTATCTGTTAACAACAACAACAAAGAAAACAAGCTGCTGTTGCTATCCAGGCTTTGAAGGAATTAAGAAGAATCTCTTCATTTAGTGGTGATTGACCTGCAAATGGGGAATAAGAAAATGAGGAACCAAACTTATTCTAAAATAAACAAATACCAAACCTCAACAGTACAAAACAAAAACTCATAATGAATACCTTTTTTTTTTTGAACAATCATAATGAATACCTTGATGAATCAAAAACACCACTTGTACAATCACACCATCAAAACTAAAAAAGCATACTCTTTTTCCCCCCTTTTTTCCCCTTCGAAATAGTGAGAAAAAACAAAAAGAGAGACACCATACCCAACAGGTTCAGCAATTCATATTCAGATTAACATATAATTGCAACAAACCCATAGAATTTCCCTATATCTTGGCATTTTTATTGTGCGCAACATAACGCATTTGAATTCCATGTTCATCAAGATTTTGGAAATGAAAAGTAAGTGGTTTACCTGCCTGCTGCATTCTCAAAAATAAAATTAAAAAAAACTAATTTAACACAACATCATGATCATATATATCTCTATGTTCCTCTCTCTCTAAAACACAAATGTTCCACCAAACTAACCAATGTTAATTAAATGAAATGAAATATGCTAGTTCAAATAATTAATAAAAGAAGAAGAACAGAGGAAGAGACCATGAAGGCATAAATGAAAATCAAGACGCTAAAATGCAGAGCCCAGTTGCACTTGAACTTACCAAAGTAGCTATCAGGAGGCTCTTGGTAAAGTATCTCAAACTCATCCCCTCCCACCATAACAAGAGCATCACCACCATCACCATCGACCCCAAATCACACTGTTATTGTCTTTAAATGTGTTCTAAGAAGCACAAAATTAGCCTTTTTTTCTCGGAGTCAACAACCTCTTCAACAAACTCAAAGGAATCCTGTTCATCTTCTTCTATGGCAGAAGGTATATATCTATATATCTTACAATCCTTTCTCAACTCATTTCAAAACACATTTCTCTGTACTAAATGGACTGTCAAAATATTCTTTTATCTGTACAAATGAACTATAAGCAAAGATGGCTGAACTAAACACAAATAATCAGTATATATATAAATATAGAATATCTACCGCTGTTGGAACAAGGAGTCCAGATCTGATTAGATCGGGGTAGCTCTAGTCGCACAAATCGACCTCCACCACAAGTCTCTCACCTCCGCCTCCGCCTCCGCCTCTGCTGTTGAGAAAGAGAAAGAGTCCAGATTCGATCAGATTGGGGTCGTGGAGTCCGAGTGAAGGTTGATCCGATGAGAGAGAGAGAGAGAGAGAGAGAGACGACCTCCACCACAAGTCTCTCACCTCCGCCTCCGCCTCCGCCTCTGCTGTTGAGAAAGAGAAAGAGTCCAGATTCAATCAGATTGGGGTGGTGGAGTCCGAGTGAAGGTTGATCCGATGAGAGAGAGAGAGAGAGAGAGAGAGAGAGAGAGAGAGAAACGCACGGCGGCGGCGATGGCGGAGGTGGTGGTTGTTCAGATGGGGGAGGTGGAGGTGGTGGCAGATCGGCGGTGACGGTAGATCTAGGGCAGCAACGGGGGATGACGGTAGACGACGACAGAGTAGGAAAGCATGAGGTCTGAGATCTGAGTGGACTGAGAGGTGGTGGTTCACAGACGCCATATTTTAGAGAGAGAGAGAGAGAGGGGAATGGTTGTAGAGAGACGGGATACAATATATATACGTGGGTATTTTAGTCTTTTTGCCTAAACTTGTCCTTATGAGCAAACTATTTCAGGGCTTGGATTTTTAGGCCAAGCGCCCTATTTTAAACGAATATAAAGACCATTTAGGCCTCGTCTAGGAACAGACTTTTTTAGTAATTTTTTGACTTTTTTATTAAAATGTGATGTAAAAAAAATTAGTATGTTTAGTATGACTTTTTGACTTTTTACGAAAATATGTGCAAAAAGTAAAGAGAAAAAAGAAATCTTTGATCTTTTAGTATGGGTTGTTGACTATTTCATTACTTTTTGACTTTTTGACTAAAAAAATCACCTACCAAACGAGACCTTAATAACAAAATTAATAGTCTACAATTGATAGTGAGAGTAAGAGTATTTTCATTAAATTGCCTATAATAATAAACAAGTTGAGACCTATATTGGCATAATTAAAATATTGAAACCTAATTAAGCTAAAAGAAATCATATATTTCAAGACTATTTTTATTCATATAATTATTATTATTTTGTATGACAAATAAATTTATTTTTTATGAAAAAGTAAGTTTTTGTAGTAATTATTTAAAAATGTTTTTTTTTTTTTTTTTGGCCAAATAAGTTTTACATTTTTTTTTTTTTTTTTTTTTTTTTTGAAAACTGTTAAAACAGATTATATTAATAAAATAAAAAATACACAAGTTCATGACAAAAAAAAGCCAATATCAAAAGGAAAGTAAGCCAATATCAAATCTAGATAAAAAAACGAAGGCAACAATCTCATTCGAAGTAGCACTTAGAGCAAACACTTCCAAAGACAGACTCGAATAAAAAATAAGAGAAGAGTCTCAAGCACTGCAACACCCTACAAAGTAATCACATTTAGATTAGCACAAGTGGAGCAATCTCTAAATTTGATGTTAAAGGAAGCTTAAATTTAAATTAAAATACATGAAAAACTTAGATCATTTTAACTTTATTTATACTTGTAGTTCTCTAAAAATATAAAGGCAAATTTCAAAGACAACCCAATAGGCTATGGTTAAGATTGAAATTTGTATAAAAGATGTATGAAAATGTATTTAAAATAAGAAATATATAATGAAAATATGTTAAATGTGCATTGAAATTATAAATTTTGTAATTATTATTTGAAAATTAACAAACACTCATTTAGCGGTGAATACTGTTACCCAAATATAAATTATATATACATATACATATACATTTTAACCAAATCATTAATATAAATATTATGATCTATTATAGAAACTAATTATATTTAAACAAGAAATTCCATTTGAAATATTTTATTTGTATATATTATTTTTATTTATGAAACAAAATAAATATAAAAATTAAAATTAATTGTACTAGGCACAAGTGGCCGCTTTCTCACTAGTATATATATAATGAGCCTATTGGAGACCGAAAGTGCGGGTGAGGCATATGGTGGTATTGAGCACTGCCAGCATAGAAACTCCTTGCAGCAGTCTCATCTACAATAATATTTTAAGGACATACTTGAAATCAATAAACAACTAGCTAAATTATTCTATGCAAAAAATTTACATAAAAGTTCTTAGAATAGCATCAACTGACCGGGGCTGAGGAGGTAGGAAGGGAGGTGACGGAGGGTTGGCAGGGAAGCGACAAGGGTTTGGGTGGCGATGGCAGACCTGGGGAGGGAGGGAATGAGGGACGGAAGCTGTGGTGAATTTTGTGGGTCCTTGGGTTGTCTATGTAAGGAGTGTTAGACATTAGATCACATATTAAACTTAAAAACTCACCTCCCTCATTTATAAACCCATCTGAAGTTGAATCATGGAAAACAAAGCAAGAGGGAGAACATCAACTGTGATGAACCATCAATGAAATTTAACATAAAAAAAAGCCCCAAAAAAAATATTTCAGTTTTTTTTGGCATCAATGATATGTCTCTATCTGTTCTGTGCATTAATGGTGGTCAATCAAACCCATACAGAAAACATAATCTACTCTTAACAAAATAAGCTAAATGAGACTTACCAAGCATTGCTGTTGCCTGGGGTATCCTTCGTACACAGTCCAATATCACCTGATAAAAGCATGGATAAGATCTTTATCATTTTCAACAACAGCTGGAGGGGCATTCCCTATGGCTTGAATGACAAACCTTAGTGGCAAATGGCAGCATCCCCACCAATAATAACATGTGGGAATTGCAAATTTAGTGAGCAGTAAAACCAACCTTAGATTAAATTGCCAGTTTTGTGAACTTGGCAATAAAAAGCCCACTAGTTTGGGATGTCATGGGATCAAAGCGCAAGGTATTTGGCACCCGTCCGCTTTTGCAAGGCCAAATTTTGGCAGCATCTATCTCTAGTAACTCTGCAAAAAGAAAAAGATAATATTGCACTCCTAAGACAGAAACACAAATGATGATAACGAACGCTCATCTTTGAAACTGAAAGAAGATAAGAATTGACAATCATTGAAGTGAATAGAGCTCGAGCGTGTGAGGTTGATTCCTAGTCCCACGAGAGGTTTTTACAAGTATCAGTTTGCAGGTTGCAACTAACTACCTCATTCAAGGGTTTGGGATCTAACTTCCAACCACTTTAATTGAAACTGAAGGATTAGGTTAGATAAACCTGCTCACAATTGGATGAGTTTGATGAAGGAACGAAAACCATCTAATTTGTTGCTTTTATGCATGAACTTCAATTTACCCAAATTGTCCTTGAAGCCATTGAAGCTACGATGGAACAAGACCAGTCTCAGATGAGGTCATGTTAAGGTGGGGGTCAGAATCAAGATCCCATCGAAGGATTTGATCAGAGTGGGAAGAACTCTCAGCGGCAATCACAGGAGCTATGGTCTATCTCAGTCGAAGAAAATGTCTTCGGTTAGCTTTGTTGGAAGATTATACAGTTGCAGAGTGATCAGGAGTGGAGGAGGTGGCACAGGGTAGAGGTTTTGTCAGACACATGAAAAGGGGGGATGGGGGTATAAGCGGGGTAGGGCCACGTGGGTCATGGAGAGATGGGTCAGGTTTTTCAAAATTCAATTGAGGAACAGATGGGGTACGAACTGCAGGCGTCACTCAGGGGAGGTCACATGGTGAAGGGTCAGTTAGTGGGGCTATCCCTTTCCTTATTAACTTTGAAACGTAGCTATTAGATTGCAGCAAAACCATTTCAATCCTCATTCATACCTATAGTCTTAAGGCTAATGAATTACCAACAAAAATAAAAGGTATTTTAGAAGTTCCTTTAGTTTTATCATAATTTTATACATGTATTGTTTCCCCTCCAAGATTCCAAGTCCCTTTCACAAAATTCCATCCAACCTTCCACCATAGGTCAAACAACATTAAGGTTTCTAGAAAAGGCATTGTTGTAAGGTTCTGAAAAGTGGTTGCGGTCGCCGTAACGGTGGCAGTAGTGCGGTTGCGGTTGCGGGGTGTAAAGGCCGTAGCGTAACGGTTGTGATAACCGGAACCGTGAATTTTTTTATTTTTCGCACAATTTGAAAAAAACTTACCGATACGCATATTTTTTTTCCATAGTCATATTTATTAGGTTTAAAATAAATATTGATCAATTTTTGTAAATTTTTAAGTATGATCCAATATATTTCATATTTTTAAATCACTATAAACTGAGTTTTTTACATTTTATTTTAATAATTAATGACTTTATATTATACAAAAAATCAATCACTAACTATTATATATAAGATAAATAATGACAAAAGTAAGAAAATAAATAAGAGCCTAAATTTATATATATACATATTTTAACCAAGCCAAATAGACAATGACCACACTTATTATTATTATTTTCAAACAATATATAGACAGACGCACACAAGCAAAATGGTTGAGTGATAGCAGCTGAATAGAATAGCATAGGTCTTACAGCTTCAATTAATCAATAATATGTTCTTCATCTTCCCTCTTCTCTCTCTCTATCTTTTGCTCGTCCATCTTCTCTCTTTATCTTCCCTCTTCTCTCTATCCCTCTTCCCCCCATTTTTAACTTTTTTTGTGTTTTTTTTCGAAAGAAACAGTTCGGAACCGTTGCGTAACGGTGCGTAACAGGCCGTTACGACCGCTACGGCCGACACACCTGTGAATCTCAATCACACTGCAAAAGTGGCCGTAACGAGTGACGGTAACCACCAAAACCGTTACGTAACGGCGTTACGTAACGGTTGCGGCCGCTTTTTAAAACCTTGGTAGATACATAATAAAAATAAATATAAATTTTAATAAGAAAAATATGATATTATATTTTCTTTAATCATACAATTAATAAATTATTAATAAATGTAAATTAATCTGGCACATTCATATTCATTGATAGTGAATCTATTATGAGTTTCTTTAATGTTTAATGGTAATAGATGTATCAGATCAAATGTTAAATGAAATATATATATATATATATATATATAAACATGATAAATTTAACAGTATTAGTGGAGTTCTCTATCCCTCTTCCCCCCATTTTCAACTTTTTTTGTGTTTTTTCGAAAGAAACAGTTCGGAACCGTTACGTAACGGTGCGTAACAGGCTGTTACGGGACCGTTACGACCGCTACGGCCGACACACCTGTGAATCTCAATCACACTACAAAAGTGGCCGTAACGGGTGGCGGTAACCACCAAAACCGTTACGTAACGGCATTATGTAACGGTTGCGGCCGCTTTTTAAAACCTTGCATTGTTGTTAGAAAAAAAATCGTGGAATATTTCAACAACAACAAAGGTCAATGCAACAAAAAGACTATCTGCTAAATTTAGATGCACAAAGACCCTTACCAGCAGAAGCATTTTTTGAAAGAAACTGTTCTACCACATCTTCATTCTGAGCAACTGTTAAACTATTCCACCAGAAGGTAAAAGCAAGTCAAAGCAAACATTAGTTGTTTTAACCCGGGGGGGAGGAGGCAGAAGAAAAGAATAGAAAAGAAAAAGAAAAAAAGAAAAGAATATTCGAAACCCTAGAAAATACAACATATATGCGCCTACCTGCAAGTGCTGTAGACAAGGGATCCCCCAACTTTGAGCAATCTAAAACCATTGGTAAGAAGCTGTAGCTGCAAGATAAGGCCATCGAAAATAATGAAGAAGGAAAGAAAGAAAAGAGAGGGGGAAGCCATAGACCACTTGGGACTACATGGAACAACTTTAAGGCTGTAATTGCTGATATGAAAAGTAAATAAAACAATGTGCCAAAATCTTCCATTATCATTCCAAAGACCACCTGTTATTTGCTAAGAAACATAGACACGTCTACGAAGATGTGTCCATGTCAGAGACTGACTATCATCAAAAACTCCTTGACACATGTCAAACACGCATCCAAATATTTTTTATTCTTTTTAAATATTTAGAGCTGAACATGCTTCGAACACTTGGTGGGGGCATGTGTCCATCAATTTGACATACATGAAACATATTACTAGTTTAGAAAATAAAAAAATAAATGACTTGAAATCCAACAGTAAAATAAAAACAATGTGTATTTAGACTTATTAACCTCACCTCACTTAGATATTTAAAATTTAAAAATTGTATAAGCCCAAAACATCCAATTTGTTTATGAATAGAGCTTTTTAAAAATAGATATCATTGTTCACACTTTTTTCTAATATGTAGAATGACAAAAATGATTTCTTACTATTTTGATGTAATAAAATATAAATGTATTTGTAATGTAAAAAGTGAACAATCATTATGTCATGTCAACATGTTTGTGTTTGTGCCCTATGTTCATGTCCGTGCTTCTTAAGTTGTTTGTTTGAACTTCTATAAAAAAATATATTTGAAAAAAAAAAAAAAACAGGTATAGACAAGTATTAGTTGAGGTAGTCAATTACAAATTTGTGAGAAAACTACTAGAGCTACAAAATCTTCCCCTATGCTATGCCAATCTACAACGAAGAAGCAAAAAAACAAAAAAGAGACATATCCTGGAGCAAGTAGCCAAATCAACAAAACTAAATCTCTATTCACAATCCTAAATGTCAAACCAAGATAATTCAAGAGCTTCTCGGTAATACCATAACATGGGTTCACCAGGGAGTGCACCAATGCAGTAACCCGAACCCAACACAAGTACACAACGCCACCCTATTGAAGGACACAAGTATAAAAGAGCCAAACATAGATCTTGACTAAAGTTTAAAGAATGAGATAAAGAGTCTTTAACGACAGTATGGTAAGTCAGTACCTAGCAACCATCAAGTAGCCAGCACATGTGCAAGACTTTAAATTTGCAAGGAACTTAATGCTTATGGATTCAAGTATTAGTTTCCAAAATGTAACCTTAATTTTTTTTTTTCAAAATGTACTAGTTTCCAAAATAAAGGTCTATAGTTGATTTAAAACTACTCAGGCTTGTCACTAGAAATGCTTAGGAATGGCTTCTCGACAAAGCTACCAAATCATCCTAAACTAAATGTCAACTCAACTCCAACTAGTTCGGCCCAACTACATGGATCGGTTGATTGCTTTTTGCAAAAAGCCCTATTTACATTAGTTTTAAGAAATCATGTCCTTTAGTTACCTATTGATGTGCTTAAGGCCACACTCTACAATTCAGAGTTAAAACCTAAATTGTCCATAAATTCCAACCAAATATAAAAAGAAATGAGCACACATGTGGACTCAGGTTTGTTAACCAGCTCATTTTGGGATAAATAGGACCTTAAGTTCATAACTACAAGATACCAAAACGTAGCTAGAAATGTTGGTAAAAATGAATTAGTTACCTGAAGGACAGTCAAGTCATCAGTTCTCTCAGCATTCAACACACGATGTTGGAGAGTTTTCCAGCCCCATTGTTCAAATTTCTGGATGTGTTTAATTGACCCATCATGTGTGCACTCTGCATCCACGAGGACCTAATTTACGTTACAATAGTTATTAGCTTCTGAATATAATGAAGACAAATAAAACAAAACACTATCAATCTAACCTAAAGTAAAACACCAACAAAAAATATGCAGAGGATGTTTAATTATGTTAATAATGTTACTGGATAATATCAACAGAAATTACAGAAAGCAACAATATTCAAGGGGGGCAAGTAAAAAAAGAAATGAAGGTAAAATATAAATTACCTTGTCATATCCACAGTGCAAAACCTCACTACAATGCAAAGTTTGATATAATTCACTTTTACTGAGCCCAACCACTCCAGAATTCCGTCCATAAAATATAAGCTCTGGATCATGAATCCGTGAGGCTAATTGTGAAGCAACACTTGCTCTTGCTTTAGCTTCCCTTTTCCTTTCTTTCCACGGTCTCCTAGATGTCCACTCCTTGTATACATCCAACTTTCCTTCCAAACCACACTCACCTGTTTAATACTAAAAAGAATGATAATACTTCAAAAACAGGAAAACAATGACAAATAAGTTAGCCAAACGAAGCACTTCCAATGTAGCTTCTTTACAGATTTATTACATGATTTAGAATCTGAATGGACCCTGATGGGAAACAGGGAGAATGTTGTTCCATCAGCAACAAAGAGACGACAATGATCCCCAAGACTGTATTTCTGCAACATAGTTCTACAAGCCGCTAAGCGGTGTCTTGCAACATCAACACCAGTGACAGAACCCGAACTGCCAAGAAGGTCCAATATCATACAAAGTTTAGCACCTGAACATGCAATGTAAATGAAAAGTAGAATTAGGTAAATTTTGTCAAAAAGTTCTGGGGACAAAACATTTGAGTCAGATATGTTTGTGAATAATATAATTCCCACGTGATAGCAAAAGAAATATCAAGATGTCCCTGCATTAATTAGTTTGATCAAAAAAAATGCACTCTCATTCAATGATATTCAAATGCTTCTAACTAAGAAGAAAGTTTACTAGCTATATTTTAATATAGACAAAAGCCCTGATGTGAATCAAACTGTAACTTAACTAGGAAACCCATTTTTGGTGAAGTTTTGAAAAGTTTAGAGAGAGAGAGAGAGTCCTGCATGACAAGTTCATTGAACCTACTTCTTTGCAAGAAAATCCAAATTCTCTTTAAGCATGCTGTGCGTAACATTAATTTTCCAAGCACAAGTGGATTGCTAGTGGAATCTGTGTTCATCTGTTAACTTTACTGAACAATGAAGGATAGCTGGAGGAATTTGGCAACCAGAATTTTTCTGTCTTTTCATAATTTTTGGTGTTAGAATTTAAGCTCAAATATCAGCAAACAAGAATGCATGCTTAAAACAGTTTAACAATTGGCCATTAAACTACCTTTGGAAGCATACTTACCAGGAGCAGCGCAGAGATCAAGGACGTGATCTCCCAAAGATATATTCAAAGCTAAAACAGCAGCTCCAGATGCCGCATCAATTCCATAAATCTGATTGACAAAAGCAAAGAAAATTAAAAGATATTTTTTCTTTTTCTTTTTCTTTTTACATTGGCACCGAGGTGTCTAGATCAAAGCCTGACAAATCCCCAAGACTCCAGGAGTGCACAGGCCCTCAGCAAAAAGTTTCCCGCAAGAGCACCACGGTTAATTCAAGGTTTTTCCCTAGTTCGATGGCCCCAAGGAATTGTTAACACCTAAAAAGTTTCGATCTCTTAACCTTGGAGGGGGCACACTCCCAAGACCCAAGGCGTTGCCACTAGGCCAACCCCTTGGGGTTAAAAAAGATATTTTTCCATATTGAAAAGCCAAATAACTGGAAAAACAAAGAGAAAGAGTAATTGGCATTCTGCTACTGGGGGAAAGCACACAACTGTGACTTGAGCACAAAGCAATCTATTCCTCTACTTTGCAATATAGTCTATGCTATAGACAAAGGAGGTTGATTACAAGGATAAAACTTTTTTTCCCTCAACAGCCACAAGGAAACTAAAACTTAATAAAGCAGAAGCAATGAGGAAGAAAAGTTGAATGAATTAATAGTTCATATATTAATGTAAAAACTCAGTATGAACAAGCAATTTCTACTGCAAACAAAACCATTGATTATTTAGGCTGTCAAACATGCATTTTGTGGAGCATAATGAGTTATCATTCCAGTAAACTGAGATGAGCTAAAAATAAATAAAAAATTATCCACATTTAATAGACATTAAAACTGATCTATACTAATATCATGAGCAGACAACTTCAATTTTCACCTTTCCTTCTTGATATGCTTTTGAGTTAGCAATTTGAATATGAGGTGGAAGAGAATAGAAATTGGGCAACCAAGCTACTTTCCCAAGCTTACATTCGATCTCAGCTTCAATCTCTTCAAGATAAGCTTCACAACCAGGTTTTAACCTTACACAAGAACAAACAACACCCACATCAAATTCTTTTTGCTTTGGGACTCCAATTTTTCATTTAAACCGTGTGAAACTCTTTTTGTTCCAATGAAAACAGTACCAAAAGTATCTACTTCAGAAGGAAACCACATAGTGGTAGTCAAGTAAATAACAAAAAAGACTAGTATTGAGATAAATACAATTTGGTATTAATCCCCATACCTTACATAACGCGGGGTCAGATCACTCGTTGTATAGATTGAGGGATCCAGTCCATTCTCATTGAGGAAATGGATAAATGCATCGGGCAAGGGCAAATTAGGAGCTGCTTCAATGTCCATGGATTAAGAAATGATTACACTAACCAATCACAAAACATAAGTTGGGGCACCAGAAAGGCTATGTGAAGATAGAAGATCCTTTGGGCTGCTGAGAAAATACAAATAAAGTAAAATAAAAATAAATTTAAAGAGTGAATGCCGATATTTCTTGTCAAAATTTTGTTGGAAATAATATTTTCTAGGAATGAAGCACGGGTTCCATATATTGAGCCACAACTTGGAAAGAATGAGATTTGAATGCACGAATTTTAATCCTTTACCCCATTAAGATTAACTTCCATTTTCTTGCCACGGGTTCCACATATTTTGTGACTGTTCACAAATTTTGCTTCAGTGTGTGATCCTAACAACCAATCATCTCACAATCCATTGCATGAAAAAAAAAAAATTGATTAGTGCTTAACAAGAAAATGTGATTACTTGGTTGATGATGGTTACTGCTCCACTTTTGTCTTACATTTGTTTTCTATGGATCACCTCAGGAAGTTGTCGAGTTGTGATTTCTAATTAATAAAGGTTCTGAATTTACTTTGAAAAGTGATTGTTACTATTAATAATTTCACTAGCATTCAAAGGTAACGGTGCACGATTATCCACCACCAACAGAACACAAAGGCCAGGACAAAAATCTGTCTTTGGGAAATTGTGAATTTTTATAAAATTGCAGACAACTAAATAAATACTACAAGTTTTTACTATGCTGAAATCATGAGAGCAATAGCTGTCAGAATCACAGGCCAATGCTAAACCTAGGCGTGTTGAAGTTTAACAGATCAGAATTGGGATTTCACTGATCGACATCAAGGGCATGGAGTTAATAATAATAATAATAATAATAATAATAATAATAATAATAAATAAGAGAGAAGTGGAGCTTCACCTTCAATGGAAGTAAAGGCAACTTTCGAATCGATTTGCAGAGTGGCAACCGCCCACGGCGGCTATACTATGACTGTGCGGTTCTGCCACAATCCTTCGCTTTTTTGTTTTTTCCTATCTTACTTTGTTTCAAATTATTTTTAAACCGAATTCTACTTTTATTTTTATCATTATTTTTTTTTTTTTTACCCGTACATTCTATCTGAGAGATCGTTAAAGTCTGCTGCTGAAAGCTGGTCGTAGAAGTCATCACCCATGGCTGGTTTATTCCCCCATTGATTATCATGGTCATCTTCTTCCAATAGTAGTGACTCATGAGAGACGCTATGCTGATAGTTGGGATACTGACCTTCATTGACGAATGTTTCTTTGCTGAAGAGATAACTTGGGATAGCTAGGTTACAGTATATCTTCTGATTCCTATCTTCGCAAATTAGATGTCCATAATTTCTGTTATACGCTAATAGAGGATTATTAGTGAATTTCCTCAATATATTGAGCTAACCTCTGAGTGAAAATTTTCTGCACGACCAGGGTCTTCGATTGAGAAGTCCTGGATACCCTGAAAATGTTGAGGTTCCTCTAAGGTACATTTTATGCTTAGCTGGGATGCATCTTATTCCTTTCCACTCTGGTAGCTTGCTATCAATTAATGCTTCTACATAGGGATGATGTTCTTCCATTACACAGAGGACTACATGAGCAAGTTTATTTCCAAAACTATCTGTCTGATTTGGATTTGAGAAAATTATTCTAGAGACAAACCCATAATCTAACAATTGTGTGGCTGTTAGATAATGCGTTTTGCCCCTAATCTCTATCTCCAATGGTTCGAAGATTGCTAGATTTATCTAGCAAAGACAGATGCTGAAGTCTAGATTACACTAACATCGACCAAAACATTCTGGCCTGTCCATACATCTTTCCTCTTCTAAGCAGGGCTGCTCTTCATCTTCGTAGAGATAAGTCCATTGATAAGCTATTCCAGGGCATTGAACTCCTGCTATGGAGAGGTCTTGAAGAAACTGTTGTATAGTGACTAACTCGTTATTTATGCTATCTTCGGCTAAGGTGTATATATAGGGTTTAAGGTCCTCTATTTCTTGGCTTTTCTCACAAAAAGATCGAATGACAGAATGCCTGAAGAAATATATTCTAGCACTCAATTGTTCAAATTCCTCACTAGTGAGTTGTCTGATTTCTAGGTTAGAAAAGGAGACGGTTGCTTTTTCTGGAGCTAATTTTTTAAGCTAGTTGGTTAGGGTTCAAATGGTTGCTCTCAATTGTTTTTCTTCGTCTCGGAGCTGGTCTGGCTCTTCACTGACTTTTTTGCCTTTAGCCATGATTTTCTTGAAATTTCTGGTTAGGCCTTCACAATGTCTGCACATTTGGGAAGAATTTTGAGAATCTATCTAAGAGTTAGTACTACTGCTTCCAATTATCTAGCTAACTGAAACTCCACTAGTAGCAAGAATGGTTGACTGCATCTTGCCCAATGTGTCCAGGTAATCTTTAGCTATCTGGCTGATAAAGTAACTGGTTCCTATTTGTCTTCAGGCATCTGTACTAGCTAACTCGAAATCATAAAATCCTTTAAACTGAGGTATGGGAAAATTTTTAACTAAGGGTTCAACTTCTACCCAGTCATAGTAAATACCAGGCTTGGTTCCTTTAGCTACTACATAAAAAGAAAAGCTTTTTGACAAGGGTTTAGTTTGGATTTTTGAAAAATATATACTGAGAGAGTTTAAGGCTGACAAGCGTTTAGCTGGGTGGTTATGACTGTTCCAAAGGTTATCTAGAAGACACTGTTGAACTGGGTCTAGCTCAATTCCTGTTAATGGTCTGAATTTGTTTTTGCCTTCATGAATAGGAAGAGCAAATCCCCCAAAGTTCATCGTTTTGCTGTTCTCCATTATCTGCACAAAATCCTCACTTGCAATCAAATTTGCTAAATATTTTTGCTGTCTGTATTCTATTTATGAGTAGATATTTCTCTGGTATATTATGTTTATCCTCTTCTGTATTGTCATTTAATCTTTTATAATTTATAACCATTCTAGTTTTTCCTCTTTTTATTTCTGCATGATTTCTAACCATGAATGTGGCACTCCTATGCGGGCTATTACTAGGTTTAATTACTCCTAAATCTAATAACTCCTTAATCTGTGTTCTAAATTCTTCTATATCTGCTGGCGTATGATCTATTTGTGCTGATGTAATCCTATAATCTTTATTTTTTATATCTAAACTGGCTAAAACTTTATTTCTTTCCCAGTATTTCATGGGATGTTTACCTAAAGTTTCTGTTGTTTCAGCTAATCTTATTATTTTATCTAAATCATTTTTTGTTCTTTTGTACACTGGTTTTTTCTTTAATTTTCCTATTTTTGCGAAGATTAATTCTAGGTTAACAATTTGTTGAAAATCTTTTAGGTTCCAATAGTCGCTATTTTCTTCAAAATCAAACTCTTCTAAATCTTCTAATTCATAATTTTCTATGTCTAAATTTTCTAAAGAGGTATTTGCTATCTCATCAGGTATATACTTTTGGGCTAGCTTGGGAAAAATATTTCTACTAGGAAATAAAAAACTAGCGGGAACTGAATCTATTCCTATGGTACCACTAAGCTTCACACGCAACTCTGATGAATGGGCAATGGTGCTAAGGGCATATGCTGTGGGTGTATGTATAGTTCGTTTAAAGAAACTAATGTTGTTTTGGCTGATAAACATGCCGCCCTGTAAACTAAGTATGAAGTTAAGTCCTAAGATGAAAGGGTGATTTTGCCGAGTATTTCCAATCCAAACTTGAGGTAACGTGAACTATTCTTTATGTTGAGTTTGGGAACCTATGTGATGAAAGCTAATTTGTGCTCCATTGATGCAATGTGTATATGTTTGTTTAGTGTCGTCGCCTATACTGACTTAAACTGGGGTTGTTAAAGCTGTGCTCCATCCTAGTGGAACTATGTGTTGTTCAATATATGACTTACTGGCTCCTGTATCTATCATGGCGTCTATACTAAGGATTTTTTCTGCAAATTTAATTACACAAGAGATCTCAACTAAATTTGGTTTGGGTATAACAGGATAATTAAATGGTAAATATGTATTATCTGACGGTGTTTGGGAATACTGACTAAAGGGTTGAGAATCAACTAGGTTGACTAATTCTAAAGAATTCATATGTTCTTCGACAAGTTTATCTTTTAAAGGGTATTTATTGTGAAATTATTCTAGCTGCTGTTTGAGCTGTCTATTTTCTACTTCTAAACATTCTATGTCAAAATTAGTTTTAGTTTCTATCTCATGTATTTGAAGTTTCAATTCTCTTACTTGTACTTCTAATTCTCTAATTGTTAGATGTATTTCTCGGTTTTCTATACTATGATCTTCTAGCATCTCGTTGTTATTGCCTAATGTTATATTGTGTGTCATGTTTAATTTTTCTAGACAAACTACACGATAGGTTATACTTCATAATAAACATTGAACTCTCTTATCTTTGGCTGGAAACCAATTACAATAACTGCATCTAGTGGTATCAAATCCTAGTCCTATTTGAAAATTATGATGACATTCAGTATCTGCATTACATTCCATCATAAAGAAAGTGTCATGAGAAGAGGGTATTCCGATTTCTTGGTTAAGTTGTTCTAAAAGATTATCTACGTCTGTATCACTTCCTGAATCACTAACTGAACTTATGGCTTCTATTTGATATTCATAATTACTGACTATGCTATACACTTCTGAATCATCACTATTTATGCTAACTATATCTTCTTCAAAATCTTCTATTATATGTAGTCTTTCTATCTGTTTATTAATATTAGGCCTTTGTCCTTTTGGGCAGGCTTTTGCAAAATGATTGGGTTCTCCACATATAAAACAATTGCATTTTTTACTATTGGGTTTTCTAACAAATCTTTGTTTTCTTTTATCTTTTTTTTCTTTGGATAGTCGCTTATAATTTATCCTATTAAAAGTTCTACTTTTTTTTAATGAATTTCTGTTTTTTCCATGGTTTTCTATATTTTTTCTTCCAATATTTTTCTTTTCTATATTTTCCATATTTTTTTGTATTTTTTCCTATTATATTTATCTTCATATTGCTGAGGAGTGTATATTACATTGCTACAAAATCCATAACTTTGTTTTTTCAAATCTTTCTGTATTTTAGCTTCTATACATTTTTCTCTGAGCCTATGAAATGTAAAAACTATTCTAGGTCCTATTCCTAAAGTTCCTTTTATTTTTACTTCCCCTGAGGCTATCTTTGCTGGTAAGTTGGTATAATAAATTGACCATTTATTTTCTATCTGTCTCCCTAGTTCTCTAGGTAATTTTCTAAAATATTTATTTCCTATTTCTTCATCAAGACTTTTTCTAGTTCTAGCTGCTATGGCTAAGTATTCTTTACTAAAGGGTACAATATATTTCCAACTTCCTCATATTATCGGTTCTAACTCAATTAATTGTATGCTTTAAGTATAATCATTTCTTATAGAAGGGTCATATCCTATAAGTATTTCTTTTATAAAACTAGCAAAATTCCATGGGTTATCTCCTAGTCCTTTAAGCTGCCTAATTGTCTCCTCATATTTTCCTTTAAACGTTAAATATAAATTAAAGGCTGAATCTCCTAAAAGTGTTTCCATATATTCCCACATATCAGTTGATTCAAAGGAATTACTCATCCATGCTTTTACCGCATCTTTTTCCCATTTTTCTATCACTTCTTGCCATATTTGAGGGTCGAATCTGGCTAAATCTAAAAGGGTTCCTTGGTTATTGGTTGGCTATAATTGTATACTCATATCTGGTTGTCTATGCTTTCCATGAAATCTATAACTTTTATTTGGGTCTGCCTTACTACGCCCTGAACTAGCTAATGGTCTCCTTTCTCCTACTGCATAATGCATTGGTTCTACTGGATCTTCTACCGTAGGTTGTGGGTTACTGGTTCCTGTGCTTTCTGTGTTCATATAAAAAGTATATTCTAAATTAGATTGTTTTGGTATTCTAAATATCTTGCTAGGATGTATTTTATCTTCTATGATGTCGTCTACATATTCTGTATGAAATTCTTGATCTAAGAATGACACTGCTTCATCATGGGTATCTCCTCTACCTAAATATTCATAATATCTGG